TTCTAATGTTCGAGATTTTACGTAGTCGAGTGTCTAACCAATCGATGCTGTACGATAGCTCGATTCCGAGGCGTCAGAATCAAAAATGGATAAAACGCCGTATTAGAAAAACCGTGAAAGACGGTCGACTCGGTGGCATTAATTCTTGAGAAGCAAACCAAGCAGAAGTATCGGTATTTCCTTCGCTATTCCTTCGAGCGTGTTCTCGTTTTACTTCTTCGGCTTCTCCAGACCGAAATGTCGAAGAATTACGAGCAAGTTATAGTTTTATCAGAAGGTCGAGGGTGGGTCAACGATTTCGCTAGGAAGCCGCGAGTCAGAGGAGCCCGTAGGATTGGTCAGAGCAGTCAGGGCCTTCGTATTCGGACCATTAGTCCAATACGGCAATTCGTCAAATCGGGAGAAATGTAGTATCAATAACGTCCCGCAGCTGCTGCCATCGAAGCATGCATTTTCCTGACGCGCAAATTGCGCGCGCACAACCTCTCTCTCTCTTTCTCTCGATCTGTGCCTACACGAGCGACAATTGTTTCCGATTTTCCCCGATTTCCCTCCCCCATTACCCTCCACCGTTCGTCTGATTGTTTTTGTCCCGTCCCGATGTTTTTCCAGTTGTTTTGCTACCGCGTAATCTGCGAATCGATTCTTCGATTGATACCATTTTCCTAATTTTCGTCCACCGTTTGCAAAGTCTTTTCGACGCTGGACTCGAAACTTCCATCGGGCAATAATATTTTTTCTAACGAGTCGAACTCTCATTGGATAAGAGCAGCCGGTCATCCGTCGGATATACGTATTTTCTCGATAGCAACGATCGCTCGAAATCCAATTGGATATCGTATTTTTCATCGTTAGCACGCGGACTAAACACGTGTCTAGGCCCGACCACCACGTGTCATCGTTAATTTCCTGCGGTTTCCATTCTCGAAAGTCGTGCTCGACGGAAGTTTCACGACCGATGTGTGATGTTTGCGGATAAATCCTCGTGGCCTGCCATAGTTGACCCTCTCCTCGCGCCTAGCGTTTTCCTCTCTTTCCCGCTTTCCAGCCATCACCTTTTCTTCCTTTTCCGACTATCTCCGTTCATCCCCACCGCTCCTGCGCTCTCTTCCTTCTAGCGGTATCCTCGCTAAATAATAAATACGAGAGGGTTCTCCGGGAATACCCCGAGGGTGCCATTAGCGGGGTACAGGTCTCGGACCAACGTCTCGCACCATTCGAAGCCGTCCTCCGGTCTTACAGCCACCACCCCCTCTCGACTTCTTCCACGAGTCGAAACGCGAGTCTAATACACTTAGAGGAGAGAAAGAGAGAGTCTCGTGTCTATGGATGAAACGGCAAGGCTCCCTCCGATCGTTTTATGGAGGCTGCTTCTTTTCTTTTCGTTTTCTTCGGCTCGCTTGACGAACGAGTTTCGAATAGACGAGCTCCCAAAGTTTACGGAAAGACCGTGGGGCTAGATCATATTTTCAATGGCATTGATAGCGCCACGTTCGTTTGCGTTTACCCTCTCTCCCTTTTCTCTCGCTTTTCTCTTCTAATTTAGCCCCTTTTTTACCTCCTTTCGTAGGGTCGATATCGGTTTTTGGTTTCTAATCGAACGGATTCACCGAAGAAACTACTAGGATATCTAGCGGAGAACTTTTAATCAGTGGCCGACTCGTTTTCTTGATTTTTTTTGTTATCTTTTATCGAAGGGACCAGCTTCGATGCAAAGAAACATTGAAACGGTACGTCCACCTCCGGATATCCGTAGCAGGCTTCCCGTAGATTTAATAGGACGAGCTAGGCGCGTGGAAAACGTTGACCACTCGTTCTAGCCGGTCAAACGGTTAATCGAGGCCATTGCGAGCACAGCGGTTCTCAGCCCTTCCCCTTTTCCCTTCGATTCAACAACTTTCCAACTACGTACTACTTCCGAAACTTTTGCTCGTTCCTCTAGACAGATCGTTCTCTCCTTCTATTCGCTCATCTTAATCACGATGAACTCGATGAAACGAGAAGATTATTTCTTCGATCGTTTGTTTTACAATTTTCTGACGCGACCCGATAGTTTATCGAATCTAGCGAAACCTCGAGCGAAACATCGGACTTTCGGGAATCGTTTTAAACGTTTTCAAGAGCGTTTTGTTGTTGCAGATGAATCGTCGAGCCGAAACGGATGATCCTAGGATGGTGCATCCGCGTGAACAGGATCGAAGGACGCAAAGCAACGCATCGCATCGGAGAACATGCAGTCAGGGCGGCACGAGGGGTAAGTATCAATAATTGAGCACCATGGGGGTGGCTCCGGTTGGCCATTTAGCGGTCGAACGAAGGGGATGGACCGCGGATATCCATGGTACGGGGATATCGGTGGATGTATCGCACGGCGAGGCCTGCTATCGACATGTCGACGATGCCAGGCCAGGGCTGTATATTCCACGATATAGGAAACTATCCTAGCCGCGATCATGATACGCGAAAATACCATCTGTCATTCGGGGGTGCGTGCCAGATCCCGTCCCAACGCTCAAACCACCACCCACTTTTCTCTCTTTCCACCACGATTTTCACTCTATGCCTTTTGCTTCCCCTTCGTTCTACCATTCGTTACCTTTTTTTATTTCTCTTCTCTTCGTCGTCGGCTTCCTGTGGCTAATACGAATAAGTCATACTGCAATGACTTAGCAGTTTAATCGCGTAATGACCTTTTGAGTATTAACTGCGCTCCTATATTAATAAGATATTGTTCTTACGTATTTACACCTACGCGCAAGCATCAGATTTTACTGATCCCGATTGCCTAATTCATCGTCGTAATCATCGATGAATCTCCATAGGATCCTGAAACGATTCTCTATCTAGAAACAATTGGCATAAACGGTGGTGCAGTGGCATCGAAACTAGTTGCCACCGACAGTCGTGCTCTCGTGAATAATCGTGTCCCGTAGTCGAATTCATTTTCCAATTAAGAGCCACGATTTGCATTCGACTCGTTCCAACGACGATCGATAGGCCGTCGCTGAATCGAGGTCGTCGACTGGGGATCACCGGTCGAAAAACGTGGATAACCGTGACTAACGATAGCTTCGACGTCGCGGTGCAACGTGTCGAACAATGTGTACTCGTCGCAGAACGAATCACCTGAATTATCCAACGAAATCGTGTCCTTCTTCTTTTATGATTGTGCATGCACCGTTCTTCCGTTCTTCGTCTGCATAAAATCGTATCAGACCGCCTCTGAAAGCTAGCTACCTCGATATTCATACTTCACGGTTGCTCGCCTCGTTGAAAATACCTGAATCTGCATCGGTGATGATCGCTTTCGGAAATTAATGGGCTACTTCTCGTGAACAACGATCGATTTCCGAGGGCGCGAATGTTGATCGAGCATTCTATTTAACAGAGCCCGCGTAAATCGCTGATGTTTATTCTAACTTGAAAATTTATTCGTCGAGTTTTTCGAGGTTGTTAAAAAATTGTGAAGTACGCGGTATACGAAAAGGTTCCGTTCAAGAGTAGAAAGGGTGAACAGGGGTGAAAGTCGATCGTTGAAATTTCTCTGGATGCGTTTACGCGTCTGGTGTCGTGGTTCCGCGTTCGCGTTTTAACCCCCATTAGTGACCCAACCCCTCGAACAGCGAGGGCCGGAACTCCCAACAACTTAATGTTATGTAAAAATATCGAGGGTTTCCGGAGACCTGGTCGCAGACGCGGACGCCCGACACCGGTTCTCCGTGTATATTAATGCGGGGTCGAAAGAAGAGCGAAAACGAGACCGTGGCGGACAAAGATAGGCTGATAGTCGAAGCTCGAGCAGATGCTCACCGTTGGAATATCTAAATAAATCCGCGTGTCGGCCACCCTTAAAATCCTTGAGTCGAATAAGTAATAACGTTCGTCGAGCGTGGTTAGATCCTTCCTTCCTTCCTTCCTTCCTTCCTTCTTCGAATCCCACCCTTTTCCGTATTCCACCTTACCCTTGCCTCGCCTGCATAAGCGAGCGCGTCCGAATTCGGGACTTTAATTGGCCCGGGGGAATTTTGCTACGTGGACTTACTTTACGAGAAAACTTTCTAGATATTTCGTACACAGACGAGAGAATGCATATTTTTATTGTTTTCTTTGTTTCGTTTCCTCTTTTATTCTGTTCCTTTGCCGCGAGTTCGGAAGACCGTGATGAGATATACTCCTTCGTGGCGAGATTTAATCAGTTTTGTCGCCGGAGTTGCGGTCGATCTAGGCAGATTATGGAATCGCTCGACTTATTTTTCCATAGCTCGCGAAAGTTTTAGTCAACGTGTAAGGTTCTGCTCATTCGTTTCTTTTTTTATAATGTAAAATATACGTTGCGTAAATCGAATATAGCTTGTTCGTTAGGGAAGTAAAGAAAAACGTCCCGAAGATATTTATTTGGAAGCAGAATATATTGGCTGGTAAGCCGCGCTCAGTTCCTGAACAGCAATTAGCCGAAGGTAATCGCAGGGCTTTCGACAGTTTTCGTACATAGATTAGCAGGGGCGTTGTACTCGCGTGCAAACATACGAGAGGAGCGTCGAGTTGATCGCAACGACAGGACGATTTACGAGGTTTCACAGGCTCGCCTGTCCGCCAGATAGAGCGAATGTGTCAATTACGATAAAGCTCATCGACGATCGATGTATCTGATGAAATTATTTAGACGGCCGCTGTCAAGCAACCACGGGTACCTAGTCGGGTTCGTTGCGATATTACGCACAACCTCGCGCCATTCTCTCGCAAATACAATTACTCCATCTATGAATTACCGCTGTCCTACTTGAATTATCGCTTTATTTATATACGCGAACGATCGAAGCTTGCGAGATAATGAAATGGAATCGATAGAAGAATCAAATTCAAGGGAATCGTGCGAAATTTACACTCGCGTTGTTGATCCAATTTATTACAAATATCATTTCGTACAATTAGTGTAAAAATAGGATTAATTAATATCTAGCTGCTTGGAAGTCGTTTTCTGCAGAATTAGTCGTGATTTTTACTCGATTGCTTCTTCATTTGTTATCCGAGTAAACATTTATCTTTTCTTCGAGCATTCTCAGTTTGTTCTCGTCCGATAAATTATTATTGCCGCTACGATCATTCTTGGTACAATCTTTCAGACATTTCAGATTTTCTTCGTTTGCATCTTTTCTCGTGGTTGCACTTACCGATGAACTTATCTCCTTATCGATTCCGGTCAGTTTTTCGAAAAGCTCCTTCTCCTTTAATCCCTTTCGCATGTCCTCTCCGAAAGCCAATTCCTCCAGTTGTTCTTCGTTCTGTCTCTTCCACGATTGGCGTTTATTGAGTAAAAGTATTTCATCCTCCAGTTGATCCTTCCCCGTTATCGGTTCTTCTTCCAACTGTGCATCAGCTACGAACATCTATTTATCATTTTGTCAACGATTAAGATCGGGATTTGTCAAATACTTACTGCGATGTTTCTCGTCAATTATTTTGCTCTTCGTATTGCTATCTAACTCTCCATGCACCAAATTACTTTTGCCAGAAGAGGTGTCGAAACTGTCTATTCTCTTTTGAATTTCTTTCTTCTTTACCTCGTCATTCGATCCAAAAATCCTATTACCAATTTGATAAACATTCGATAATAATAATAATACGCATTATCACTGCACAGTAGCTAGAGCACATACTTTTTATCATCCTCGTCTTTTAGACTCCCTTTAGTCCGATCGTCGCGACTCTTCGATTCGACGTTTTCAAAGTCCATGGAACTATAAATTAGCGGCTCTTCGTATTCCGATTCGAAGGAATCCCGAAACTCTTTGTCCAGGTATTCGCGTTTTTGTCGCGAAGTCATAGCATTGTGCACGGTGTCCTTATGTGGTAGCTGATCAATAGCGTTGCCACCTTTGTGTCGTTTACGATGCTTCTTTTTACGTTTGCCGCGTTTTCTGTGCTTCTTACGCGGCTTCGACTGCTTGTCCAGACTGCGGATTGTTCTGCGTCTTTTACGAAACGAGTCCAGCCCGTCTAAGGGGCATCGAACAATTTTATAAGCTTTCGAGTCTATTCGAAAGTTCAGCCTTACCCTCGTAAAAGTCCTCGTCTGCGAGGAGCCTTTCGTTCTTCGCTTTCAACGAGTTCGACACGTTCGGCGACGGGCTAGCCATATTTGGTCTCATCGAATGACCGCCATTGCTAGTATTAGTCATGCCTCCTTGATATTGAAGAATCATTCCACTTTTGCCTTTGGCTGCTTTGGTAGGAAACTCTAATTTCTCTTTCTCGATAGCTTGGACGAACTCGAGTAGCCGATCCAGCTGGTTTGACTAAAATATTTAACGCAGATAATTTGCTCGATCAACCCACGAAAATTTATCGTTCGAGATAGTATTAATGACTTACCAAGTAATCGTGCACGGATTGAACCTTCGTCTTCTCCTTTTCCGACAACGTTCTGTACTCGTTAATCAACTTCTCGACTAATTGAAGCTTTCTACGTAATTCATTAAATTCGTCTCCCATTTCGTTGCTCGTGGAATCGCGGAAGAGAAACTTGTCCTTTGGAAAATGATGTGGGACGTCCATTGCGTGAACCACCGGTAAGGATGCTGGCTGAAATGGAATTTAGCGCGAAGGAACTTTGTCGGAACTCGTGTATCATATATGTAGATTACTTGTTCCATAGAATTTCGTCGTGGGTTCACGTCCAGTATCCAATCCAAGAATTCTGTTAAATCCGGGGACAAGGACACGCAAGTTTTTCTTTGTACTTCGTCGAAAATTAGTCGATTAAGAAGCAGCATAATTTTGTTCAACAATTCTGTCGCGTGATTCATCTGTCGAAGTAAAATATTTTATGAAATACTTTTAGTTCGTTGTAAGAAATTAAAAAAATGTCGATGCATGTACTTCGTCGTCGTCGAGAGCTTGACGATACGCTTTATTGGCCGATACAGTTTCTCCGGTTTTATGCTTTTGGTAAAGACCTGGTCCTAGTGACAATTTTAGATCCTCGTTCTTTTGAACCTGATTATTTTGGTAAAAAATAACGAATACAGTGCCCTGCGTGTTACAGTGATTAAGATCGTAAATATTTGAAAAAAGTACTTGTTCAAAAATGTGGTCCACAATTTTTCCAGCGAGTTCCCCATGAAGAGCCGAGCCCATTTGTGACTCATCTTCGACGTTATCGATAGATAACAACGAGGAGATCTTTCTTTGTGCTTCGCTATCGATGTTCATTGCCTAAAAAATTTACCGCCAATCTTTTTCTTGAATTATATCGTGTATAATTTATTACCCGAGTCTTTTATGGATACAAGAAATAATCATTATAGTACTCACGTGCTCGCTGTCCATTTTGTTACGACGTGTTTTTCTTTCATTTACGGAAAATTCTTTAATGCCATGGACTTTATCATCGACATTACTCTTTTTGAGATTTCCGGTTTTAGGCATGCGTTTCTTATGTTTCTTGTGATCGTGTTCGTGCTTTGTTTTCAAATCGTTCGAATGCTTTTTAGGATGTCTTCGTCTACGATTAGTGTTACCAGAATACTTGGATTTTTTCGCGTGACTTTTCTTCTTTCCCTTCTTCTCGTCTGAATGTCGATGTTTTCTTTTTCTGTGTTGCTTCTTTTTCTTCGAGCTCGCTCCTCTAGCCACTTTCCCGTCATTTTCATCCTCTATCGCGATTTCTTCGTTCGGTTCAGAAACACGATCGTTCGTTTCGTCTTGGTTCTTCGAATATTCGTAATAGTCCAATTTCTCCGAATCAGGAGATTGCTTATCGTCGTAGTACGTGTCGTAAGGCAGTTGAATTTGTCTCTTGACTCTATCGTTAGGTTTGTTAAATAAATCTCGCAGGTCCAAAGAAGGATACCTAAGACTAAGTAGCGAGTCTTCGACCGTGGACATTGTTTTCACCGTACTATCCTGGACTTTGGAAATCTCGGTAGAAACGTTAAGCAAATTTCGCTCGGTAATTAAAGTCGACGTTCCCTTTACTTCATCTTTAACTTTAGTCACGGGTCCATCTTGGCCCATCTTGTTCGTCGAAGATTCAGGATTCTTTTGATCGATCGTTTTCAAACTTCGACTCAATCTCGGCCTCATATCCTCGTCGAAATCGTCGATCCAATCCGAAGGTTCCACGAAAGATTCGTGGAGGTCTCCCGAGCTAATAACCGTCTGTTTCTCGCGATCTATATTTTGGACGCGTTCCCTGGGCAACCATGATTCCAGATATTTACGATTTTCGTAAGGAGAACGAGAATCTGTGTCAATATATTGCCTGCGGCCCGTTAATGACCAGCTCCTGGCATCTTTTTCTGGGGGCGCGTCGTTACTCACTCCGCTCACCTGACCGATTCAAGGTTTATAGAGCGAAAGGAGGTAAGTCGAGGTAATAATTTATTGGAAATGCTTAGGTTTACTCTTTAGGTGTTTTCTTTCGTACTTTTTGCTCTCGCCATTCAACGGCCGTACCGATAGAACCTGGTTCTCGTAATTTCTGCTCAGTGTTGTTGCTTTGCTCCGAACCGCCTTTAAACATATCGTCCGTCCTTTTGAGGGCTAAATAATTACTTCCAGAAACGTTGCACGTCGATGCGCACTCGGGATAATCGGACGAGTCGGTTTTCGCGCCTATTGCTCTTCCTGATCCATCGTAAACGAGCAAAAGAGGCAATAAGTTCGGGCTAGAAGCTGAACCGCAAGGTTGATCGTGGTCGACGTGATACGGATTTAAAATTGATTCGAGTAGATTAGTTAACACTTTCAGTGCCACGCTAAAATTGCAAAATATTCTCGGTATTAATTTTACGATATTTAACTACGATTCGATCGGATAAACTTTCGAGTATTTAGCAAAACTTTGTACATAGCTAATGGCACTTAAAATGTTAACACTGTTAAACGTTTCAGCCACACCTTGAGTCTCTGGAAGCTCGATTTGACCCGTGTACGATTCGGACATCTTGTTCGTTGGATCTAATTTATCGTTGGCCCCGTAATACATTCTGTGATCGCCTTTAATTCTTGGTTTGCTGTGCGAGTCGTCCTGATTCCAATCGTATATTTTCTTCAACTCTTCGTACAGCGGTTCAAAATTGTTGGACACTTTGTCGTTTCTGCAAAATGGTTGTTCAAAATAATAATTTAGATATCGATAAAAGAGGAGGCACATACTTCTCATCCATCGATTGAATATCCTCTAAAAACTCATCGATCATGTCGGGATTCGACTGCTGGTCCTTGTTGAAGACGTACGTTGCTGAATCCTTCGAACCACCCTCCAAGAATTTATCTTCCCTTTCCGAGATCGGTTGATTTAACCTGTTGATTCAGCTTGATTAGTCTTAAAATTAACTCGTTCGCGTCGAGAGCCTTCTAGTATCATAATACGATCTTTGATACACTCTTAGTTGCCGCGGGCACATCCTATATACGTTCATGCGTTATCGTTCGAGAATTTACTGCTGACCTCCCGCGACTAATGGCGTTCACGTTGTCTTCACCTTGATTTAATCTTCCCGACTGTATCTGTTGGCTCACGAGAGAGGAACCTTCCGTCGAGTAACGTGCAAGTCCTTCCTCCATTTTCTCTGTCACGTTTTTAGGCCGAGATTCAGTACCGGATACGATGAATTGCTGTTTCGGTAGTTTCTTGTTTAGTTTCTCCTGCTTGCGCATCTCTGCCTCGTGCTCGTCCTTTTTCGTGGCGGGCGGTATGAGAGTATGCTTGACTTCGGTGTCCGCTGATGCGATCATAGAAAGTCAAAAACGAATCGTTCTTTTCGCTCAAAAATTCGCGCTGATACTCGTAATGTAATGTGCAAATGTTTGATCGGATAGCGTATAAAGTACTAGTAAGATTTGTCGATGACGGGGAAGTGAACATTACCGAGTACCAAATCGGATTCGATAGGGTTCTTGTCATAATTAGTTTTAATTCGTTCTTGTTCATCGGTCTCGTGTTCCGGTTGCTCGTTATCGCTATCGTAATCGTAATACTCGATCACGCTTACTGGATTGCGTCTTTTCCTCATGGTACCGCGAAGATTTTGCTTCTTCTTATCCAGCTTCTGTTTAATCAGTACGTTCACTTTCGCCCTTTCTTTCTGGCTTACAGCGGATCGTTCTCTCCGTTTCGATGGCGCGTCACTTTTTTCTAAAAACATTTCAAGTTTATGAAAGACTTTCCGGTAAAAATAAACATTTTCACTTACCAGCAATATCTTGACGTTGACTTTCCTCCTCCTTGTCGCTGTAACTCGCGTCAGCGTCTTCGATGTCGTCGTCCGAGTATTCCATGTACTGAAGTATTCTTCTCTGACCGTACATGTCGCTTAGCTTCCGATCATCCAAACCATCGGGCACTATCACTATCTGCGTGTACTTCCTTTTATTCTTCTCTTCGTGTTCAGTTGACTTGTCGGCAAGATTACTTGCATCGTTTATTTTATCATTAGAATCTCGAACAGATGCTTCTTTTATTTTCTTATCATTCAAGTTTTCTTCTTTGTTTTCAAGTTGATCCTTCTCCGCTGAATTTTTGTATATCGTACTAAACTGATTATGATTCTTGTACCAGTTTTGCGTTCCTTCGCTTCTCTCCGTTGATCCTTTGTTAATCTCGACAGAATTTTCGATTCTTCCTTCATCAACGTTTCTCTCATTCATATCACTCATTAAGCCGTGCTTGTTTTCATCAAATTCGTCGGCCTTATCTTTTCCAAAATTGAGTGAACTAAACGGACTTTGCTTTTCCCTTTCCGACCCTTCCCGTTTGCTTTTATCCTTGACAGGCGCATCGACCTGTGCTTTCTCGATTTTCACGTTATACACCGTGGCCACTGATTTTCCAGGCTTCTCTTCGTTCTCCATGTACATTTTCTTCCTTATGTCGAATCTGTTGAACACGTACGGCTGTCGTTCACCTTTAATTCCCGAGTTCTCGTTGGGACCGCCGTTGCTAAATTTGATCAGATCTTTCTTCTCCGATTTCAGAAGAATATTAATATTCCCCGACTCTTGTGGTGACCTTTTCTCGGGCAACAGTTTCCCATGATTTTCGTCGGATTCCTCGGTTCTTTGACCCGCGTTTATTCCATCGTTATTTGGATACGGACGGTCTGCAAATTCGAACGCTTTCTCTCGTTGCGTTTTCGCTTCTTCTTCCTTGTCATCTTTGTCCAGGGTAGAAGTTTGATCCGAAACAGACTGCAATTCGTTCGGTTTAGACCTAAACATTCTCAAAGAATCCTTTCCTTCGTTCTTCGTCAGTTTATTTTCCATCCGATTACCCTGCTCGCAATTTTCAGCCACACCCGAGCCTCTACCGTTGAAGACGGAACTCGAGGTATCTGGAAAATTGTTCGTCGGTTTGCTACCTTGCTCGATCGCATAGTTAGTTTGCAAATCGTTCGATTCTTTTTTGTTGAGATCATCCAGATCGTGGCAATCGATTTCCTTCGATGTTTTTAACGAATCATTCTCGTCGGTTAACAAATTGTTTTTGTCGTCGCAAGATTCGTTTGATTGATGTTTCTCGTCAGTCGGGGTTCCTTTGCTGCGTCTTTTGCGGTCATGAAGCGCTTTTAGAGCTTCCTCTTCAAGGTACGACTCCCCAAACCCCGCTCTGTGGAAGAATTTTCGGCTATCGTCGTCGTTATTAGCCTCGGTCCTCTTCTTTCTCCACGCATTTGGGTGAACATTCTTGTCGCTGAAATCATCAGGATCTTGTTCTCGCTTTTTTAAATCGGCCACTTCCGGCTCTGAGCTGTCCCACCAAGATTCTATTGAAAAATCAAGAAAAATGTCATTACCTTTAATTCTTAAAGATATCATACTCAACAAGAGTATTTAGTTAGAAACTCTGAAGTCTAAACAAGAAGTTCATTAAAGTACGTTCCAGTACCTGTATCCTTTCCGTGTTTTTCGTGTTTATTCTTGGCTCGAGTATTTCGTTCTTTAACGTCCTCTTTCTCTTTTACTCTTGCTTGGTGCTCCCTCTTCTCGTCTTCGTTCAAACTCTTCTTCAGTTCGAGTATAGTTTCTTTAAGCGATTCCAAAGACGGCGATTCCGCTTTCTTCGCTTCGTCTCGTTGGTATCTCGCGTTGACTCGAGGGTCCGTTTTTAATGGATCTTTTACAAATCGTGAAAATTGTACGACGTCGAAGCAAGTCGAGATTAATGATACGTACTAAGTTGATTTCCTTGATCGGATTCGTAGTCGTGCATCCATCGATCTCCTCGTTTATCCTGTTCCCCTTTAAAATTCTTATTCGAGTTCAACCAATCGTTCAGCGAACAAATATCCTTCGTATTGGACCACTCTTTTGGTAATTGATCGTCCGTCACATCCTTTCCGTTCTCTTTTTCATTCATTCTGAAAAAAGCATACGTTGTCGCGTTTAATATAAAAATTCTTTCTCGTAAAGACTCGAGAAATGGGAAATTCTATACCCATTTTGAAACGTATCTGCGTTATCGGGGTCCAGATTTTTTTCAACAGACATATCGCTATCGATGTACACTCTCTGAGGTGGTTCGGGAGGATACAAATCACTATATTTCTTTTGATTCGTCCTCCACAGAAAACTTCTTTTGTCGCGTACTTTCCCTCTCGAGGAAGTCGCATCGAAATTTGGATGTTCCAGGTTCTTGTTCGATCCAGTGGGTGATCTTATAGGAAAATACAGATTTAACTTGGAGCTTCGAACAGAATTCACCGACGAAAGACTCACTTGTCCCAATTTTTCGTTCGATGAGTATTGCGCACGATATGATCTATCCATCTTAAATCATCCTGAGCTTTCAGAACGTTTTCCAGAAATTTGTTCAACGTCGAGCCATTCTCGTCGCTAATTCGTCCATGATTTTCCGTGCGTTTCATCTGCAACAGCGAATCGATCATTTTTCACATTTTTTCAAAATTGTTCGATTACGACAAAACTCGCGAGGTCGAGCACTTTAAAGCTGCGGTGGGAGGGAAGACTCGTTACGAGCGCGTAACCGGTGTACCAGGAGGAAAGTACAAGGACCACCGTGGTTTCCCGTAGATTCAGTCGCGTCCTGTCACTGACAATTCCTCCTCCCATAATAATACTCGTCCGCGGTACGCACCGCGTCCGTGCTCGTCCTTTTTCCAGCGCGTACGACACGGCCAAGACAATGGGATTCTACGCGGGACCGCGGATACGGGCACGGTGTTATTAAAAATTCACTCCCTCTAGCGGGTGAAGTGGCCTCTGGCAATCTGCATCTCATTCCCGGCGGGCCCTTGTGCCAGCCA